AGAATGGTTTCCCTCTACATTCTACATTTATCTTCCTCATGTTACTATTCTTTAGATCACAAGAATATTATTGACAGTGCACAAAACTGTTCTTAACTAAGCATGAAATTTATTTTATTCTCTATAATTTTCATTCATTCCTTTTTAGCAAACATTTCTTGAGTAGTCAATATATGTCACAGGTGCTGGCTGGCTGTGAAATATCTCAAGAGTTACACATGGTTCTTTCTTGGGAAGAATGCAGAGAAAAATGGGGTGAACAGATGTGGAAACTAACATTAACACATAAAAGCTCTATAATAGACATGGGAGCAAGGGACTTTTATAGTCGATAAGGGGGAGCAGCCAGCTTTATAAATAAGTCAAGGATAAGAGTCTTAAAAGATTATTAAATTCTGGATCATGAAGGAAGTAGGATGAGGATAGGAAACAGCATTTGAAAAAGTAGAAAAGGCTGAGAATTTGAAGAAAACTAAAGCGGAGGGTGTCTCATGGCAAGTTTGTCTGAAGGCGGCATTAAGGTAATAAAATATAAAAGGTCTTGTTTACAGTATCAAGGAAGGCATTGTGGAATAAGTACAGTGGTCAAGAACCCAGCTACTGAGTCAGGACACCCGCTTTTAAATCTGACAGTTAATCAGTCATATATTCAGTGTAACCTCTGGCAAGAAGTGACTTAACCAGTGTAATCCTCAATTCTCTCATATGTAAAGTGGGAAAACTAAAGGGGTTGTTATGGGAACAAACTGAATGCTTGGCAGCTTGATGGTGTGAATATGAGACTTGATGTGGGGTGAGAGAAACCTTAACATTGAGATGATTGAGATGAGACTAATTATATATGCAAGGATGGACCCAAAGGAGTCTTTTAAGCAGGGGAATGTTGATATTTAATTTTTTTTTCATTCTGAAAGCAATATTTGATAATAATGGAATAATTAGGGCAAAACCCTCAAAAGTAGTTTAAAATAATAAAAATCACTCAGATTCCACTATTAGGTGACAACTATTATGAACATACATAATGGTGGCATAATTAAAATAGTTTACCCTCCAGAAACACCTCTGGCTCTGCAGTTACCCAAGTCCTTTATTTCAGTGTCATGTCAATAATTTGTTATAGTTTTCTTGTGAATGTTTCCTGCATATTTCTTAAGTGTGTTTTTCAATATTGCTGTTATAATTGATGTATTTCATTATATTCCTAGCTATTGCATATATATAGGAGAACTGTTAGATTTAGAAGAAGCTAAGATTTCTTTCCTATGAAATGAGGGGATTGGATTAGAATCTTCAAGAACTCTGACATTCTCTGATTCTCTAAATGCGGCTTTTCTCTTTTTTATATGTTATACTTTAAAAATCCTTCTCTATAATTATTAATAAAGGGCTTCCCTCGTGGTGCAGTGGTTAAGAACATGCCTGCCAATGCAGGGGACATGGGTTCGAGCCCTGGTCCAAGAAGATCCCACATGCAGCGGAGCACCTAAGCCCGTGTGCCACAACTACTGAGCCTGCGCCCTAGAGCCTGCGAGCCACAACTGCTGAGCCCACGTGCCACAACTGCTGAAGTCTATGACCCCTAGAGCCCATGCTCCACAACAAGAGAAGCCACCGCGATGAGAAGCCTGTGCACCGCGAGGAAGAATAGCCCCTGCTCCCAGTAACTAGAGAAAGCCTGCGTGCAGCAACAAAGACCCAATGCAGCCAAAAATAAATACATTAATTTAAAAAAATTATTAATAAAAATCTTCCCAGCCAGGTTTTGTTTTGTTGTTATATAATTTTGGGTATTTTTAGAGTTTAAATTTTTACTCCATCCAGAATATATATTTTTCTCTTTTCCAAGACATAAGATATCATTGTATTAGTTATAATTGATGTATTTTATTATGGCAGCTAGGGCTGCCCTAACAGAATACCACACACTGTGTGGGTTAAACAACAGAAATTTTTTGTGTCACAGTTCTGCAGACTAGAAGTCAAAACTTAAGGTATCAGCAAGACTGGTTCCTTCTGAGGGCTGTGAGAGAAGGATCTGTTCCAAGTCTCTCTCTTTGGCTTGTAGATAACTATCTTCTCCTCATGTCTCTTCATACTGTCTTCCCTCTGTGTGTGTGTCTCTCTCTGTTCAGATTTCTTCTTTTGATGTGGACCTCAGTCATATTGGGTTAGGGTCCACCCTAATAACCTCATATAACTAATTACATCTGCAGTAACCCTATTTCCAAATAAGGTCACATTCTGAGGTACTAGGGGTTAGGACCTCAACTTATGAATTTTCAGGGTATACAATTCATCCTTTAACATATGGCTTCAACATTATTCTTTTCCTGTTAACTGTCCAGTTGTTTCAGTACTATTCATTGAATAATACATCTTCCTCTCAGCTGTGTGTTTTTTTTTATATTAAACTCATATCTTTATGTAATGCTATTTCTTTTCTAATTTATTAGTGCACAGAGATACATTTTCATAGTTATATTCAGTGTGTACATATTAACTTATGCTGTTTTTCTTCATTTATTCTTTCATGTAAGTATTTCCACATGTTGAAAGAGCTGTACATTATTCCATCAAATTTAAGTAATTGTTTCTTTATTATTACATACTTGAATTGTTTTCCAAAATTCCTCTCAGCTGCTTTAATGCTGCCCTTAAATTACCGTTTGTATTAGGTAGGCATTTTATGATTTACCTTTTCTGTTTTCCTGTACTGTCTGGGTCTTCTTGCCAAAGGCAGGATTTTACATTGGTTCTCCCAAATACTCTGATACAAAACTAGATGTAGGTATAGTTTTGCATACTATATTAGAGATGATAAGAATGATCACTTTAGATTAACAGGAATATACTGTTACAGGGGTTAGTATCATTCAAGGATGTGGCTGTGGATTTCACCCAGGAGGAGTGGCAGCAGCTGGACCCTGCTCAGAAGACCCTGTACAGGGATGTGATGTTGGAGAACTACAGCCACCTGGTCTCAATGGGTAAGGATGACTTCCCTGTATAACTCAGACTTGTCCAATCAAGTGCCTTTCCTTATCAGTCTCTGCGGTTAGGTGGTTCCTGACATATATAATGACTTTTATGATCTTCGTACCTTCCCCAATGGAGGTAATTACTTTGCTGAGGGCCAAATGTACTACTTCATTGTAGACCTCCTTAAACTGCACCTTCTCTTTTGCCTTCTGTGCAGTCTATCCCATTTCCTCTGATTTCCATTTAATAGGGCATCCAGTTTCCAAACCAGATGTCATCTCCAAGTTGGAACAAGGAGAAGATCCATGGATCATAAAGAGAGACATACCAAATTGGATCTATCCATATGAAGATCAGGCAGATGGGCGACAAGGGAAGTGAAATATCAGGTTTTTTTTTTTTAATTGATTGATGCCTGAGGCTTATGTTTCTCTCCTTAGTGAATTCTCTTATTCTTTGTTCCTATGCTGAGAATTTAGTAGGCATTCAACAAATAATTAATCAATTAAATAACTGTGAACCTTTATAGGGGATAGCTATTTCTTATTGATTGTATGTGTATATATTATGTATTAAATATATATTTGTTTAATATAATATATATTTAATGCATTTTATGAAAAGGCTTAATAGGCAATAGAAGGCAAATTCCTTCTAAGAACACAGGTTGCATTACAGAATTAAATGTCAAATACTGCTACTGTTTTTAAAAGTTCAGAGAAAATTAGAGTCTAAAGAAACGAAACAGAATTTGAAAAAGCATTTTTCAGAGCATGCAGCTGTAGCTGCTTTGAAAGATATATTGAGTATTGATGATGCTGAGAGAGGAAGGTGAAGACAAACTGTTGATGGGGGGTGGGCATGAAGAGTATATGAACAAAACCTTGAAGTTAGGGAAATATGGCTTTTCTGGGAGAACTTTGCTAATTTTATTTGATAATGTAGAGAAAGAATTTATGGGGAACTGTGGAATTCAAGCTTGGATTCTTGGTGTGAATCTGATACTGAATCCACAGCAGGATTTTGGGTTTTTCTATTGTTTGTATTAGTCGTTATTTAAGAAAGTAGACTGAGGAGAGTTAAAGTATTTTGAATACAGAAGAGACCTTGTTTCTTTGGCTAGTGGTGGCAGGATAATACTAGTCAAGTATATATAGCAAATTATAAAATAAACGCATTTGAAAGGTGAAAAGCATTTCCCTTCAGAAAGCAGGAGAAATGGGAAGACTCTAGAAGAGTAATCCAAGATTAGAGTGATAATAACTCAGATAGTTTTCTATCTCCTTTAGGTATAGTTTTTCCATAAATATTTCGCTTTAACATCCTTGTCTAACCATTTCCCTCATCATACTATTTGCTGTCTGTCTTATGAAATGGCCTGTCTCATCCCTGTTTTGAGTTCATCACCTTCATTGGATCAGTCATTTTTTATACTCCTCTGCATTCTATTAATTATTCTTTATGACTGTTTTATTTTATCTTTCTTTCCTTTAGACAGGAAAAGTAACCTTGACAACACCCAATCATGTATTTTGGGGTCTGTTTCCTTCCATAATAAGATACTGAAAGGAGTCACAAAGGATGGTTCATTTTACTCCATATTAAAAGTCTGTCAAGGTGATGGCCACCTACAGAGATGTCAGAAAAACAGACTTTTCAGGCAAATAACAGTCATCAACAACAAAACAATGACTGTGGAGTCAGACCACAAATATAATGCATTGGGCAAAATATTTCAAGAATGCATAGGGTCAGATACTTCAAGACAAAGACCTCATAACTGTGATACATTTAAAAATGACTTGAAATCTAGTATTGACCTACCTAGTTGTAATAAGAGCAATTCAGGAAAAAACCCTGATGAGAGTTTTGCATGTGGAAAATCATCCATCCATGGTGTGTCCAATCCTGATCTTGAGAAAATTCACAATCGAGTAATTCCCTGTGATGATAATGAGTGTGGAAACATTTTCAGCAAGAAACAATCCCTTATTCAGTATCAGAATGTTGAAACTAAGGAGAAAACCTGTGTATGTATTACATGTGGAAAAGCCTTTGCTAAGAAGTCACAGCTCATTGTACATCAACGAATTCATACTGGGAAGAAACCATACAATTGTGGTGCATGTGGGAAAGCTTTCAGTGAGAAGTTTCACCTTATTGTACATCAAAGAATTCATACTGGGGAGAAACCTTATGAATGTTCTGAATGTGGAAAAGCCTTCTCTCAAAAATCATCCCTCATTATCCATCAAAGAGTTCATACTGGGGAAAAACCATATGAATGTAGTGACTGTGGAAAAGCCTTCTCCCAGAAATCACCCCTCATTATACATCAGAGAATTCACACTGGAGAAAAACCTTATGAATGTAGAGAGTGTGGTAAGGCCTTCTCCCAGAAGTCACAGCTGATTATACATCATAGAGCTCATACTGGAGAGAAGCCCTATGAGTGTACTGAATGTGGAAAAGCCTTCTGTGAGAAGTCCCACCTCATCATACATAAAAGGATTCACACTGGAGAGAAACCCTACAAATGTGCTCAATGTGAGGAAGCCTTCAGCAGGAAGACAGAACTCATTACACACCAGTTAATTCATACTGGGGAGAAACCTTACGAATGTACTGCATGTGGGAAGACCTTCTCCCGGAAGTCACAGCTCATTATACATCAGAGAACGCATACTGGAGAAAAGCCCTATAAATGCAGTGAATGTGGAAAAGCCTTCTGTCAGAAATCACATCTCATTGGACATCAGAGGATTCACACAGGAGAAAAACCTTATGTTTGTACTGAATGTGGAAAAGCCTTCTCTCAAAAGTCTCACCTCCCAGGGCATCAGCGGATTCATACAGGAGAGAAACCTTATATATGTGCTGAATGTGGAAAGGCATTTTCTCAGAAATCAGACCTTGTTTTACATCAGAGAATTCATACAGGGGAAAGACCTTACCAGTGTGCTGTATGTGGGAAAGCCTTCATCCAGAAATCACAACTCACTGTACATCAGAGAATTCACAGCAGTGGTAAAATCATAATAAACTAAAAACACAGACAAGCTTTCAGTATTAGCTCAAGCCTTAATAAACAACAGAAACGTGATTAATTTGATAAATTTGTGGACAACATCTTTATAGAGAAAATTTTACAAGAGAATTCATGTCTGTAGTGTGGTGATACCTAACTCAGCAAAGATGATGGGAAATAATTACATAAATGAAGGACATTTCACCATGGCATGTAAAGCTTTTAAAGTCATGAACTGAATGGTCAGTAGAACAAATTATGTATATAGAATATTGTCAAATTACATATTCCTTATTATACCATAACAATAAACACATTGTGAAATTGCTAATATTAGCTTGCCATTATTTTGGCCATGTACAGTAATTCCCTATAAAGGACATGAAGAAAACTTGAGTTAAAAAAATCAATTCCTAGAAACTGTATTAATAAGGAGGGGCTTGGGAGTTCCTTGGTGGTAGGACTTGGTGCTTTCACTGCTGTGGCCCAGGTTCAATCCCTGGTCAGGGAACTAAGATCCTGCAAGCTGTGCAGAGCAGTCAAAAAAAAAAAAAAAAAAGGGTGGGGGGTTGCTTAACATGATCCCTAAATATACATGTAAAATTCTTATACAAAGATGGAAAGATAGGTTGATCAGATTCAGTAAAGGTGATAATTGTACATTTTCCCATCTCAAGCATATAAGTTGATCTGTATCTCTGGAAGGACCCTGGACCTTGAAATTGATGCTTCTTGACCAAATCTCCTCTTTACTCTCTCTTACTGGGAATTTGGTATAGTGGAAAGACTTTGGTACTGAACCAGATGGTTTGGGTTTTAATCCTGGCTCAACTACTCAAAAGATTGTGTGACTTCAGGCAAGCCTACTTTACCCATCTGAATATTTTTTCTTATTGGTAAATAAATGTACAGTGTAGAGCACACTTTCAGTTAATGTTAGTTCTTTTCATCTTTCTATTGTCCTATAACAGGATGCTAAGAGTAATATGATACATCTGAACTTGCTTTGCAGTCCGGATACTCTGCTTATGTACCCCATTCCTATGACTGATTGATTTAACTGTCTTTGACCATGGTAGTCTTGATTCCTGGTATGTTAAAGTGAGATTTTATTATACTTTTATTATTTTTTACATACATTTATATAAGCCATTGTGTTTGCACATAAAGACCCTGTCTAATGTCACTTTAGTTCCTTTATGACCCCTGTCCTGCAGCTGCAACTGTTCTCCCCGGAACTGAGGACACCTAACAAAGGAAAACTCTTGGGGTAAGAATTCATGCCTGCCATAGATTTGAGAACTTAATACCTCTAAAATTTCCTGTGGTCCCACATATTCCTGCATGAACGACTTAAAATGAGGACTCCTGCTGGAGCTGCTCTGCAGGAGAGCATACCTGGCAAGGATGAGGGTGTCTATATGGTAAAACATGGTTTGCCCATGTTCACATTGTTCTTCCCTTAGCTCCTACTTGATTCCTTCACATTTCATGCCCACCTTATCCCCTTCCTGCATGGCTGAACTATCTATTATGAAACTGGGTGAGAATCTCTGCAGGGGAGAGGGCATACCTGATGGAGAGGGATGTGGGAACCTGTGTGGGCAAATTTCTGGTCTCATTATTAACACTGAGTTGATAGCACTGTCATCAGATATAACTGGCCATTCAGATCTGGGATAGAAGGCCTAAGAGTACACCTCATGGGTTGAGCTACTCTGAGGGTTCCTCATAGAAGATGTCCTAACTGGCTCTTATGGAGACATGAGAAGGACAAGAGATCATATTGGGAATATAGAGAAATTTAGTGAAGAGGGGGTTTTATATAGTGATAGGTATGGACCTTATATAGGTTTAACAAAGATTCACAGTTCCCACCTCATAGACTTCCCATTTGATCCTTCCACTGTTACAGCTCCTATGCAGCCTCATTGATCTGATAATGGGTTTCTATAAAAATCTCATTTCAGATTTAGCACCTCCTGGTTTAACATTTCACCAGCTTTTTTTTTTCCCAGCTTTTTACTAGAGGAGCTAGCCAGTGCAATGAGGCAAGAAAAAGAAGCAGTAGGCATATTCAGATTCTAAAGATACTTAAAAGTTATTGAAAAGATTTGAATACAACTAAATTAAAAAGAAAAAAGCCAATTCTACAATATCTATTCCAGAAAAGAGAAGAGGAAGGATCCCTGACATATTTTATGAGTCTACCATTATCCTGATGCTAAAGCCAGACAGACATTACAAGAAAAAAAAAATTAGTGACCAGTATTTCTCCTGAACATAGCCACAACCATCCTTAACAGACTATTTGCAAATCAAGTCTAGAAATATTTTGAAAAAAAAAGTACATCATGGCTAAATAGAGTTTAATTCAAGAATGCAAGTTTGGTCCAATGTACAAAAAAATTTTGGTATAATTCAACATACCAATAGCCTAAAAAGAATAACTATATGGTCATTTCTATAGATGGGGGAAAATTATTTGACAAAAATTCCACATCAATTTAGAATAAAAACTCAGCAACTAGGAATAAAGGGCAGCTTCCTCAAATTGTTGAAGGACATCTATAGAACTTCTAAAGTTAGCATATTTGATGGTGAAAGACTAAATGTGTGCCCCAAGATTGGGAAATGTTAAAGATGTCTGTTCTGCTCTTCCTAGTGAATATTGTACTGGTGATCTTAGCCAGTGCAGTAGGGAAAACAAAATAAGGTGGGGGGTGGAGTGGAGTGGGAGGGTGGTGGAGCATACAGTCAGGAAAGGAAAATAAAATTGTCTTTATTTGCAGATAACATGGTCTTCTACACAGAAGATTTCAAAGACTACAAAAAAATCTACTAGACCTGATAAATGGGTTTCACAAAATATCTAAAAAAGTGAGGAGATATACTGTATTTACAGATAGATTCAATATTGACTGTTAAGATATCAGTTTTCCTCAAATTGATCTATATATTTATTGCAATCACCCACAAAAAACTCAGCAGACATTTGTGTAGAATTCGACAATCTGATTCAAAAATGTGCACGGAAATGCAAAAGACCTAGAATAAACAAGACATCTTTGGAAAGAAAGAAGAAGACCCATATTACCTGATTTCAAGGCTTATTATAAAGCTAGAGTAATCAAGTATATAGTATTGGCATAAGAATAGACAGGTCAATGAAACAATATAGAAGTCAAACCACACATATGAATAACAGACTTTTAGCAAAGTTGTCAAGGTAACTTAATGGACAGAAGGTAGTCTTCAACAAACAATGCTGGAACATTTGGAAATCCATATGCAAAAACAAAGCAATACAAAAAACTCTTGATTCCTAGCTCATACTCATACTATATCTAAAAATCAACATGAAAAAGGTCATGCGCATAAATGTAAACGTGAAAACTATAAAGTTCTAGGAGAAAACAAAGTAATTGTGACTTTCATTATGCGAAGATTTTTCAAAGACAAAAACCCCACAAAACATGACATTAAAAGCTGATAGAGTTCATTATAATAACATCTATTCTTCTAAATACAGTGTTAAGAAAATGCCTAGTTATACTACCCCAGTCATTAAGTTTAGACCACCTTCAGTGGACTTGGAAAGGGATCAGAACATACTGTTTTAAATTGTGAGTCTGTACTGTTCCATTCATACTTTTCATAAAATCCTTAATATTTTACTAGTATTTCATCTTACACTGAAAATAATGTTCCCCAACCACGTTAGCAGAATTACTAAATTATTTTGCTTATAGTATGCTTTAGCAAACTTCAAATTTTCAACACTAATATTACTAAAACAGTAAAAACAATAGATGAACAAAGTCTGTTCTTATGTTATTCCTTAGCTTTAACATTTTTCCATTTCAATGGCTATAAAAATTCAACCAAATTAAAAATAGTTACATTAATAAGCTAAAAATGCCAACAGGATAAGTATTCAAGGAGATATAGTCGGAAGATCTGTGAAAGCTCAACTTCCCCTTCTTTTATATATATATATATATATTTATTTATTTATTGGAGTATAATTGCTTTACAGTGTTGTGTTAGTTTCTGCTGTACAACAAAGTGGATCAGCTATATGTATACATATATCCCTATATCCCCTCCCTCTTGTGCTTCCCTCCCACCCTCCCTATCCCACCCCTCTAGGTTGTCACAAAGCAACAAGTTGATCTCCCTGTACTATGCAACAGCTTCCCACTAGTCATCCATTTTACATTTGGTAGTGTATATATGTCAATGCTACTCTCTCGCTTCGTCCCAGCTTCCCCTTCCTCCCCTGTGTCCTCAAGTCCATTCTCTACGTCTGCATCTTTATTCCTGCCCTGCCACTAGGTTCATCGGTACCAGTTTTGTTTTGTTTTTCTTGATTCCATATGTGTGTGTTAGCATATGGTATTTGTTTTTCTCTTTCTGACTTACTTCACTCTGTATGACAGACTCTAGGTCCATCCACCTCATTACAAGTAACTCAGTTTCTTTCCGTTTTATGGCTGAGTAATATTCCATTGTATATATGTATCACATCTTCTTCCTCCATTCATTTGTTGATGTACATTTAGGTTGCTTCCATGTCCTGGCTATTGTAAATAGTGCTGCAGTGAACATTGTGGTACATGTCTCTTTTTGAATTATGGTTTTCTCTGGGTATATGCCCAGTAGTGGGATCATATGGTAGTTCCATTTTTAGTTTTTTAAGGAACCTCCATACTGTTTTCCATAGTGGCTGTATCAATTTACATTCCCACCAACAGTGCAGGAGGGTTCCCTTGTCTCCACACCCTCTCCAACATTTATTGTTTCTAGATTTCTTGATGATGGCCATTCTGACCAGTGTGAGGTGATACCTCATTATGGTTTTGATGTTCATTTCTCTAATGATTAGTGATGTTGAGCATCTTTTCATGTGTTTGTTGGTAATCTGTATATCTACTTTGGAGAAGTGTCTATTTAGGTCTTCCACCCATTATTGGATTGGGTTGTTTGTTTTTTTGATACTGAGCTGCATGACCTGCTTGTATATTTTGGAGATTAATCCTTTGTCAGTTGCTTCATTTGCAACTATTTTCTCCCATTCTGAGGGTTGTCTTTTTGTCTTGTTTATGGTATCCTTTGCTGTGCAAAAGCTTAAGATCCCACATGCCTCATGGCCAAAAAACCAAAAAACATAAAACAGAAGCAATATTGTAACGAATTCAATAAAAGACTTTAAAATTGGCCATTAAAAAAAACTTAAAAAAAAATGATCAACGTGAGAAAATATGTCAAGGGTTCATCTGCAAATGTGACTTAGAAAGAGAATTTTGTGGGTAGAAAAAAGAGGATGTTAAGGATTCTACATTTTAATGGCTTGTGCTCTAACTGGACTACAGAGGTTTTGATACATTTCTGCGATAGAGAAATACTGTATTTCTGACTTGGTGAGGAGACTGAAAATTTACAAAATTCTCTAGGAAATCATTGTTACTGTCCAGGAGCTAGTTTTGCAAATCTGGAGCTGTGGGGGATCTCAGGTAATCCTTGAGATGGTTTTCTGGGGTCATTTCCAGTCTCCTAATGGACTGCACTTCTTTCTCACCACGAGGAGCTTCATCATCTTGTTGGTAATAGGCAGCACATCCATCATGGCCTATCTCTTTACCAATGCATGCTATTGTCATCACACCCTCCTCTCAGAATCTTTTCACCAGACGGAATAAGAGAGCATCTTTATAGAAAGGCTGATATCAACATTTTAAAACCAGAAAGCTGCTTTGAAAGTCAGCACACACTTTCCATCATCAAAAGAAAACAAACAAAAATTGTCTTTAATTCCTTTCCTTTATACCTAAAAGAAAATCAAGATACCAAAAATAAAGCAAAACAGAAACAAAGAGTAACTTAGTTTCCATTCATCAGAAATCATAATTCAAACCCAACTATTCTG